AAACCATAAAATGTGTTCATCTGTCATAAAACCATGGTAGTTAAACTCGCGAGATATCGGGATTATCGCGATACGGTACGATCTCAATCAAAACGATATAACTCGGACTATGTATCGGCTATGTTTAAATATCGGTAAATATCGCGAGATATCGTATCGTATCGTCATATCACGATACGATACGATACGATATTTACGATATTAGTCAAAATATTTATAAAATAAAAAAATAAAAAAAAATAAAAGCGTTCACAGTTTCAGGACTGAAAACGGATTTCAAAATAACCCTTCAAATTCACAACCCCAATCCACCTGTCTCGCTTCAATTTCTTCAAAAAATATCACAATATGGCTACCCTAACTCAATTTCTATAGATTCCTGTTATTTTTTTGCGATTCAAGTGCGAATTTATTAGTGATAGATTATTCATTTAGAAATTATGACTTATGAGTGATATATTAGTCTTTTAAAAATATGAGTGATAGATTACTCTTTTAGAAATTAGGGATTCAAATTTGAACTTTGTTAACGTTTATTTTAAGAGCAACTATGACTTTTTTCCTATTTTATAATGCAATTTTGAAATTTGAAGCTTGATTTGACTTTAAAATTTTACATGTTTATAGTATTTATATTATATATATTTTATTATTTTTAATAGTTGGTTAAATATCATATCATACGATATGATAACGATACGATACGATACACAGAGGAAAACGATACTCCGATATTTTCCGATTCGATAACCATGCATAAAACCACCCATTATTATTATTATTATTATTATTATTATTATTATTAATAATAATAATAATAATAATAATAATAATAAGTTTGTTGTGTGTATTAGTTTGCTATTAATATTCTAAATACATAAAATGCAATTTTAATTATCATCGTTAGTTAATAAACGGTGATAAGTCTAAATTTACGGTAGCATGCAACCCGGTGTGAAAAGATTAAGGTGATATGTTTAAATTTACATTAAATTATCAATTTTGTGTTACCTTAGAGTAACTCCAATGCTAGATATTAAAATTGAGTTATCAAATACTCATTTGATATTTGAGAATTATTTTAATATTAATTTAAAACTCATCTACTCCAACCATGATTATCAAATTAATTATCAATTGGAAGTTTATAGGTGGTTTTATTTGTAATTGCCACGTGTCAACTTCTGATTGGATGTTTAGGAGGTTACAATTTTTATAACTCAATTTCCAGCAAGTATTTTTATAACCCAAAAGGTGAATTATCAAAATAGAAATCTCATTTGATAACTCCATTGGAGTTAAAGATTTCTATTTTTAAGTATGTAAATGGGAGTTAAATGTTTGAATACTCTATTTGATAACCCACTGGAGTTGCTCTTATTAGAGCAACTCCAATACTAAACATCAAAATTGGATTATCAGATACTCATTTGAAAATTAATATAATATTTTAATATTCATTTACAATTTATCTACTCCAACTATAGTTATCAAAATTAATAATCAAGTGACAGTTTTTAATGGTTTTATTTGTAATTGCCACGTGTCGCTTTGTGATTGGATGTTTATGTAGTTATTTTTTTTGATAACTCAATTTCCAGAATGTATTTTTACATTCAAAGAGGTAGAATATCAAAATACTTACCAATTTTGATACTCCCACTGAGGTAGAAATTTTTAATTTTAAGATACTGATGATGCTAAAGTTTAGATCACCTGGGGTAGTGTAGAAAATGAACTGGGAGAGCAAAGCGGATCAGTAGCTTGACAACTTGATGATCCTGAGGTACCTGCGATCATAGAACACGTGAACTAGGCCGGGGGTTGATCCGGCGGAAACCCCTCCGACGCTCAAGTCAGACGTGCCGATAGTGGAAATAGTCCAGAGAATACAGTTAATAGTATTGCTCAATTAATATGACCTACCTTAAGGAATGAGTTCAAACATTTATTTATAGTTTAGTTGAGATTGTCGGGCCCAAACCTTGCTTGAAGGTGATTGGGCCTCGGTGATAGTAGTCTTAAATATTGGGTTCGTGACCCATTAGATAAATAAATTATAGGCCCACTGGGTTGGCCCAATTAGGCATATCAGATATCAAAAAGTTGATTTATGGATTTGATAATTCATTTGATACTCTCATTAGAGTTGCTCTTAACCCCAGGTTAAAACCCCACAATCAAATTGGTACGTCCCTACTAACAATTTCAAATCATCACTTAATAATTTATTTAAACTTGTTTTTAATCTTCTAGAGGGAATATATACATCATCGACTTCACCCAAAAATTGAATTAAGTATTTTCATAAATAAATAAAGTAAGAAACTAAAGAAACGAATACAAATATTACTAAGTATTATATAATTGGCTTGTGACATTTGCAAATACATGTAACCAAGAGTTTATGAAGAAGATGACAAATGGAACAAGATGTAATGTACAATACCACCAATTTATTAACAAGTCCCTGTAATGTGTATATGTACATATTTGTAATTGTACATATCAGTGTATATTTGAATATGATGAAATAAATAAATGGTAAATTACAACCACCCGGGTATGGTCAAATTACGAAAAAAAACTCTCTTTTTTGGATAATTACAACCACCCCTCAACTATAAATCTCCTTACACGTCCACCCTTGCAGTGTCAAATTTAGTGGAATCTTCTAACTTATATGGAATATTCTCAATTTTTTTTCGCAGTCTGACCAACAACAAAGTACAATCAAACATCCAACAAACAATTACAAACAAACAAAACATCTCATCTAAATAAAAAGTTGCCAGTTACCCACCAAAGCACATTGATTCAGTGCGATAAATTAATTAGACATCAGTAATTCCAAGTCAATCCAAAAATCAGTTACCATCGGAGGACATTTTCACACAAGTGCAACTGTGGCATGTTTCTTCACAACTTCGAGATTGAGAAGAAAACTTAGAACTTGCTTCATTGTGGGGTGCTTGCCAAAATCATTATGTGTGCAATCCATTCCGAGTGCAGTAATCTTGGGCCCATCAGAAGGATCAAAATCGGGTTCCTCTGCTAGACTCTAGTGGACGAGCGAAAACTTGGGCTTCTTCGAGTCACTATCTGAATCATCATTTTTCGAGTCACGATCTGAATCATCTTTCTTCGAGGAGTCACCATTTGAATCATCATTTTTCAAGTCAAGATCCGAATCATGTTTTTTCGAGGAGTCGCGATCTGAATCATCTTTCTTCGAGTCACTATTTGGACCATATTTATATTCCAAAAACTTCGTGTAGGCCCATTTGAAAACATATGGTGAAAGATTTTGCCGGTCTTGTTCGGTGAAAACTCTCTTTGAAATCAAACTCAAAAGTATATTCCCAAATGCAAACACATCTGGCTTATCCGGAGCATGATCTGCAACAAATTTCTAAACGACTTGCAGTTTCAAACAAATTAATATAAACAAAAACGAATTTTTTTTTTCTATACGTGATATTATTCTTCATCAGATAATCAACATCAATGCCCGTAAAATAGAACTTCAATTCCTAGTAGTCGAGAGTGTAACAGAAAGTACCTTCGAGCCATGCGCCAACATCCATGTAGCCATAGCTTCCAATCAACGACGGCATTTATATACTGTCCTATCGGGGAAAATCCCACCACTTACAAGACCAAAATCACATAATTTTGGATTATAATCCTGCAAAAGAATTAAACGAACAACTGTTACATTCATTTGCTATATAGGATATTCAATTACGGGAATGAAAAACTTACACTGTACCTTGTCAAGAACAATATGAGCACAATCAAGATTGCGAAGTGTGAGAGGTTTGTACGGACTCTTTATATGAGTACAAAACTATTTTCAATTTCAATCTCGAAAATTTGGGAATCTAGAAATTCATTCCAATATCAAAAACTTCAGAAATTTTTGAATTTCAAAAAATTCGAAAATCACACAATTTATGAAAATTTTGAAATATTTTTATAAACCGTTAAAAATTGGAGAATAATCCATATAAATTAAAAGATTTCACTAAATTTGACACCGCAATGCTGAACGTGTAAGAAGATTCATAGTTGAGTTGTAATTATACAATCATAAGGACCTTTTTGTAATTTTGACCTTACCTCGGGTTGACATAATTTACGCTTATTATTAATATTTTTATTTATTATTTTTTTTTGAATTCTCTTATTATTACGCAAGGTTGTAAAACGCGGTAATCGGTCCGAGTCGGTTAGGCACCGACTCACGATTAATCGGTGCGGCGGTGATTAATCGGTGATAAATCGGAAATAAATCGGTTTTTAAAATTGAATATAATATATTTCTAGATATTATTTATAAATACTCCAAACATATATAAAAAGATATTTAAACATATATATATCTCCATCATGTATATATCCTAATAACATAATAAAAGTTTAATACTTATAAGATCATAATACATAATATCCTTATAAAATATTAATAAAGAGGCAATTTTTTGAATTTACATTTGTTCTAGACCATTCCTAGCATGCATCATTAGTTATTTAACAATAACAATTAATTTAAACAAAATAAGGCATAAACTCATATTTTATTTTATTAAAATCCCAACTTTTATTTTGAATTATAAAAAAAAAAGAAAAAAAAAAAAAACCGATTTTTGCCACCGAGTTTGACCCGCCTTAAAGGTTTGACCGCCTCAGACCGCCTAAAACCGGCTCACAGGCAAAAAGCCGATTTTTCAAACCTTTACACTATAATCGTTAAGTTTTTGGACCGCCTCCGCCTCGGAGATCGATTAATCGGCCGCCTCGGCCGATTTTGAGAACACTCTTATTAGGTGACGATAAATTACCAGTTTTCAATTTAATAATCAAAAGCATTAATTACGTATATGATATATGGCATGCTCATAATTCCTAAGCTTATTCCTTTTCCACTGCAACCCTTGTTTTTCTTTTTCAATTTATTTAAATCCGGTTTTCATACCCTACGTTCTCTATCGTCTCCTCAAATTAAATCAGAATCGTCCAACTCCGGTGATCGGTGACGGTGAGATTTACCGGCGTACTGCATCAATTTTTTTTTTCTTCTAATTTTTAGTTGCAGGATGTTATTAATTCGTTTAATTGAATGATTTGGTTGAAGATGGAATATCCCTAACCCTAATTTATTCCATTGTTCTCTGATGGGTTATGTTTTATATATATGGTTTCCACCAAAAAAATTCTGCTCAATTATTTTGGGGGCTGTGCTTTCGTTTATCGAGTTTTAGTTTTAGGATACTGATATTTGAAGCTACGAATTTGCTTATATCGCATACTTTTGATACTGATATTTTCATAATTTTCATTTTAGTCTGAAATTTAAGCCTGAAAATTTTGTCAGTAAATAATTGTAATCAATTAGAAAATGCTTATAGTAAATGTAAAGCTGTAATTTCTATAGTGAACATGCTCAGTAAACATTTGTAGGACTTAGACTTGATGTTTTCCATTAGGGATCTCTTTCAAATGTATTAGTTAGTAATCAGTCACAATTCTTTGAGATATTATATTTAAAGGAAATCCTGTTATGCTCAATCTATTGGTGAAATCAATATAAAAACATCGAAAGTCGTTAAGGAAACAGTTATCTACAAAGTAATAGCTTAGATAAAAAAAATAACGTGCCTTCATAAACGTTCCATTTTCCAGAATTTTCACTAATTTGTGTATTTGCCGGAATTTTTATGCTTTAAAAGATAACTCGCTACTTTTTTTTCTTGTTTAGTCACAAATAAGTTCGACTTATCCACAAAGACTACCATTTTAGAGTTTGTGCCAATTTTTTTGATATTTTATAACGGTAGATACTTCTAAAGGCAACTTGGTGATTTTATCTGGAAATACTTACTGATATGGAAAATTGAACTACGTAGGTTATATACATATTCAGACGATCTTTTATGACTGTTTTGACTTTTGTTGTATCTGAATAATACCTTGTTATACATATCGCTCTGTTGACAAGAAAGTTCTTTTGCCGAAGGCTTTGCTTCATGCATAGTATAATTTTGATCCACCAGAATTTGATTTTGTTTTACAATTTTCTTTTTACTTGAACTTTGCCTAGATATGGAGCCGGAAAATTTTAGAAGAATTGAATACGAGGACTTGGTTGAATGTACCGATACCTTAGGTGAGAGCAACTACATAGGCCGTTTCCAATTTGGCAAAATGTACCGTGGAGTGCTCGGAACTTTCGAACCAATTAATTTGTTGGTGAAGATATGGGAAGTTCCAGAAATATACAATTATAAGCCTGGAGATCATAATATTAGACTAATGGTATGTTTGCAATTCCGATATTGTTTCAACTTTGGAAAAAAAAAAATTATCTCTTAGGACTTTTTCACATGTTTCGCATGTGCTTGTACAGGAGGAACTCGTTTTACTTCGTCATGAAAAGGTGATCAAGCATCCATGCATGGTACAGCTGTATGGATTCTGCTCCGACGGTGAACATATCAGCGTTGCTTATTTACTGAAGCCATTTGATTCTCTTTTTAACCTCATTCCTAAAGGTATCGGATTTTTATCCCTCTCTGAGATTTCTTATCGGATAGCACCTTCTACTTATAGCTTAGCCGTCATTTTAACTGTCTATAGTGCATTCTTCGTACATCTTTAAGGCATATTAAACATTTCGAAAATTTCTTTTCTGGAACTGTAACTCCGTGACATCATTTTGAGCATTGATCTTTGAAAGAGACGAGAGAGCTAATTGAAAGATTATAAGTAAAAGTGTAAAACAATTAGCTAGCCATATTACTTGATAGTCAACTGGCTTGATAGCTCGGTTATATTGGGTTCATTCATATACTGATTCTCTCATATGAGATGTTTTTGTTAAGTTTCGAAAGTTGGCAGTTCATATGTATTTGTTTTTAGATTTTACGTAGCTTGTGCATGTATGCTACTCTGACACAATTTACACATGGCTGAAATAACTGAAAATGTGTTCGACTTATAGATAGTTTCACATGGCTGCAAAGGATAAAAACGGCTTTTGGATTGGCTTCCCTTCTCAAATTTCTACATGTCGGAAACCCTTCATCATATTACCCACCTTTCGTAGTTCAGAATCTTGATCCTGCTCATATAGTGCTTGATCAGGTGTGTTTAGACGTCTGCTTTGCATCCCTCGGGTCGATTATTGTACTTAGTATGAAGAAATAGGTAATTAGTTGACTAATTATGCAGGACTATACTCCAAGGCTGTGCGATTTTGGTCTGGTATGTGGTGGATTTTTCCCCGATAGGAGATCGTATTCAGGGCCCTTGGGTTGCTATGGCTACATCGATGTTAGTGCATCCAATCAAGGTATGGATATTCTCCACCATCTGTGCAATATTCATTGAACAACTAACTCGTAGCCTTACACATCAAATTCTGACTGGTTATCATCCCATCAGTTGCATTGATTTGTTTACAAGTTGTTGAACGTTCATCGAGCTATCTCTTTGCACCAAAAACTAAACGATGCAATTCCTTTCGGTGGGGAAATTTTGCACACTTCAAATTATTTTGCAAACACAAGACAAGCAGCTTGTCTTAGTTCTTTTAAGACTCTCTGACACATCAACATCTCCCCTTTCCTAATTTACCCCTAATTTTCCGGTTCGTTTGACATGCATGCATATTTTGGCACACACACGAAAAATAAAATAAAAGAAAAAGAGAGGAGGTTGAGGGTGTGATGAATCTTTGATGAGTATTTACCGATTTAGGATGAAAAGGGGACACTGAGTGGTGGTAAATAATGTTCGTTTAAATAGATTATCTATATACCGAATTAATTGGCGTTACAATGACCAGATCGATTTTAGATATTGCGAGTCTTTTTCACTTCCGTAAGAAGTCGCGAATTGCTGACAGCTAATACTGATCCAAGCATCTTCTCGATACATATACTGTGAAGAAACAGATTTGCTATTTCTTACAATCTTCCAATTTTCATTTTATGCTACCTCTGTGATCTTTGCTTCTAAGTTCACTAGTCCAATTTATGAATTATTACATATCTAAAAGAATCATTGGATTTTTGTTACAGGTGATTGCTCGATCAAGAAAGACGTGTTTGCATTTGGGGTGATACTTCTAAGTTTGATATCGAAGAGAGTATACACAGAAGAAGACAGGCAATCTGGTTTACCAACTGTTTACGAATGGGCTTTAGGACAATGCCAAGCGTTTGAATCGTACAGTGAAATGAGAGATGCAAAGTTTTCGCTTGTGCATAAAAGTATGGCGTCTGAAAGCGAATTTTGTGGTGATGATGGGCACAAGATTACTATGATTGCGTTAGAATGTGTTAATACAGTCCAATCGGAAAGGCCTGCAATGAAGCAAGTTTTTAGAGCTTTACGCAAACTCGAAGTCGTTAAGAACTATGCTGACTTCATCGGAGCAAACAACAAAATGCTGTTGCGGCCATGTGAAAAATACTAAATAGCTACTGTTGTATTTTGAATTTCTTAGTTTCTTTTTTTTTTCTTTTTTTTTTTGGAGGAAAAAGAATAGGCATATATAAATAGCCAAATTGACAAGAAGCTTCCTTACAATAATAATTCCAGACAGAAGCTAAATCATGAGGAAGAGAGTTGTCTTGTGTTGCATATTTAGAAAAAGACGGAACTAACCCCAGGTCAGGTCATTCGCCTCCTAAATACAAAAACGAAGCATCTTAAGACAAACGAATTTAGGGCATTAGCGGAATTTAAAGGCGGCATGCAGTTTGTTGGAAAACCGAAGAAGAATAAAACCCTATAGCTAGCTGAGAAAGATGCTGCTATATGTGGAAGCATTGGTGGTTAATTACTCGAGATATAGATTTAATCTTTTTTATTCAGAATAAATAAGAGTTCATTCACACACCTTAGGCTGAAATCAATGTTTCGTTAGATTTCCGATCTACCGAATTACCATCTTATAAACTTGTATTAATTTAGCCATGAATATATATATATACTTGTATATAAAAAAACAAATGAGGGAGACAGACACAAAAATTGGTAAATCAAAAAAAGCGTGGACGGCAGGATTCGAACCTGCGCGGGCAAAGCCCACATGATTTCTAGTCATGCCCGATAACCACTCCGGCACGTCCACTTTCATTGAATATAAGATCGGTTATTATGTATTTAAATGTAAATTGTTTTTGTTTCGGCTCTCAGTGAAAAACCGGATATGATGAAAACCCTTCACTATTTTCGACTTTTCCGTCTTAAATCATTTAAGGGCTCTTCCTTTATGAAAAAAAAGACAAATTCGAATATTTTTGCAATTAATTTTTGTATTGCACCCTATGATTTTGTGTGCCTGTCCAATTTTTGTTGTGACCGGTGCTCGAATTGAAAAGAAAAAACCCAGTCATTTATTCAATTATGATTAGGGGTGAAAGTAGGATGGATCGGATCGGATCGAAATTAGCTTTTTCGGAAAAATTACAAAAAGTTTTGGAAGTACAAAATCAATTCCAATTCCGATTCCAAAATTTTCGGAAAATCTTAAAATTCATTCCAATTCCAAAAGACCCGGAAATTTCAGAATTTTGGAACTTAGCGAAAATTTTCTAAAATGTTCATAATTTTCCAAAAATAAGAACATTCACGTCGATAAAAGTAAAACTAATAACTGCTAAATTTCAATTAAAAATAAAAAATAAAAATTAACACAACATAATATCTAATAAAACTTCTAACAACAATTCATTATGTCAAAATCCTAAAAAAAAACATTTATAGGTGTATTTTTTGGAAAAATAAATATTATATATTATATATTATATATTATTTATATGTGTATTTTCGGAAAAAATTGGAATTTTTCGGAATTAAATTCGAAAATCAAATCGGATCGTAAATCGGAAATTCCAAATTTATTTTATATAATTCCAATTCGAATCCAAAAAAATCAGAAAAATTCGGAAATCGGAATTTCGGAAGTCGGAATGAAAAAAGTTGTTCCAAAATCGGAACTTTTCGGATCGGAACCGGCGGAAATTGGAATTTCCGTTCCAACTTGCACCCCTAATTATAATATTAAAAAAAAAATAAAAAATAGCCGATGTTTAGTTAGATATCCAATTTACCGAATAATCATACTATATGCATATCCAAAATGAAGTTTTTATTTGGTCGGGCAAAATGACGCAAATTAAAATCCAAAAATAATGAAAAAACATTTACTATTTCCTTTTTTTTTCATTTTTTTTATTTTTTATAATAATTATGTTGTGAATTATGATTAGAATGGCTCTTGCTAGCAAGTAAATAGTTAAGACTTAAGCAAATAATGGTGATTGTAAAGGAAAAAATAAAAGCAAAGCCTGAATAAATATTAAATGATAGATGAAACAATTAAATAAATGCAACCTAAATAAGGAATTGTGTGTTCAAATTAATGAAGCACAAAAAAGGTAACTGTCTGGCCAATGACAAAGGAGAGAGTATTGGAGGATTATTTGTATTTATTTATGTCATTTTATTATAGCTGTTATGTCATTTAATTACCTCAAAAGAAGATGGATAAATTACAAAAGAAAACCCCAAATTTAGATTAAAATACAAAAACCACCTCCATCTATTTATAATTACCAAAAATCCCTAAGGTTTGTTTCCGTCTTACACCAACCCCTTACGGTGTGACTTTTCACTTTGATAGACTGTACACATTTTCTGTTAAAAAACTCGATCAACAGTTAATCAGAGCGAGATTTTGATTATTAAGGATATGTAAGGGTGATTTTCGTTATTTAGCCTAAGTTTAGGGGGATTTTCGTAATTTACCCTAAGAAGATTAATGATGCTCTGGTTTTTTTATGAAGAGCAATAGAGCATTAGGGCAGATTACAACAGAATGCTATTTGTGAGTCAATTAAGATGAAAGTTTAGATAAATTAAATCAATATGCATGAATTGGCGAGGTTTTCGACTCAAATTAAACTGACCCGTTTCGAGCGAATTTGGGTAAGCTAAATAGTTTTAGGATGAGTAATGAGTTCATATTTTCAAAAATTTTGTATAGAGTAACGGGTTTTAATTATTAATATTTAATTTTAGTTTTTTAAATTAATTAAGTTATCATTTTATTTTTTTGCCTCTTTTCACCGTTTCACTTATAGTATTGCATTTTAATTTTGAGGTAGTATTGCATTTTAATTTTGAGGTGATGTTTATTATAAATACACAATTTTAATATCATAGAACTCAATTATTTATAAAATTTTACATTTTTTAAATGTTTTTGATCGGTTGAAGCCATGAATACTGGGTACGGGTTGGGGCGGGTTGGGTTTTAATATTTTCACTAGAACCGATCTGTTCCTATCCCTAGATGAAAACAATCACGTTACGTATGTTTAAATAATAGTAATAATCATAAAATATACTAGAAATATATAATAATTACAAAATTCATCCAAAAACGATTTCAAAGCATTTCCAATTTCTTGTTTGTATTTGGATACAATTGTATGTAAATATAGACTAGGTGAATATATGAATGATAATGATGAAGAAAAAGTAGTTAGTAGATACACGAAAAAATAATACCAATTG